TTTTGCCGATATTCAAGAGTGAACAAACGACCTCACACGTCTAATACACGTCAGCTGGTGGGTCTAATATACATTCACAAATATGGTGATGATATTTATACAATTATTACAGTATTGCATAACAGTAAATCTTCTATTTTTTGGTGTGAATAAAAATTCATTATGTGAATAAAAAATCAAAATGGAATTTATTTGTAAAGCCTCAAAACATAACTAATGAACAGAGGAAACGTTAGTTTAGTGCCAGGAATGCCTACATTGTTTATTCTGGACCGTATTTTGAAATTGGAATATTTTGAACTTTGTGTTAAATTGGCCAAATTAACAATTTCCGATCAATTTATTTTGTAGTTGAAACAGTTGACTTGGCGATTTCTTGTGCTCAATCGATAGAATAGAAGTAATACTAGTGAAATAGCTAAGAATTTGGTTGATTGGAATAATGTAATTGGCCTAAAATGGGAGTCAAGTCGGCAAAATCGCCGATTCGTAAATGTCGCTGACACATCAAAATTCGCGAGAGCATAATTTCGTCAATTTTCCACCAAATTTCGTACTTTTTGTTTTATTACCTTCACAAAAAGATTCTCTACGATTTCATAAGAAAAAATAAAAAAATTTTTTTTTGAGAATTCTTGGACACTGGTGCGTGACTCCAGATTTGGGCCTTGGACCCTGAAAGGGTTAAACATCAACGATCTTCCCAACGTATCACAACACCTGAAACCCCATTCTCTTTGCTGACGACACGACTTATGTCATCTCCCACCCAAATCTTGCTACACTCTAACACCATTGTCCCCTCAGGGAAGGTTCCTTGATATTGGTGAGGGGCTCTTGATTTAGGGAATTGGATCTGTGCTCCAGTTCCCCGAATTAAGCCTGAATGCCTTCCGCATCCCACCCCAGGCGCTGTATAATCCTATGGGTTTAGCGCTTCCCCCTTGATTATAATAATAATAATCAACACTATTGTTAATGAGTAGCTACTCAAAATATGTACTTGGATGACAGCCAATAAACTTACACTTAACAGTGACTAAACCTTCTATATTATGTTTGGTAACAGAGCAGGTGTTGCACAACTTAACATTAAGATCGACAACACTCTTATTGCCAGACAAAATGAGGGCAAATTCCTGGACCTGCACCTCGACAGCAACCTGAATTTCAGTACCCATATCCAACATATAACAAAAAAAGTATCCAAAATGGTTGGGATCCTCTCCAAGATCTGTTACTATGTGCCACAATCAGCCCTTCTCGCACTATACTATTCACTCGTCTGTCCCTACCTCACCTATGCTATTTGTTCTTGGGGATCAACTGCAGCAACACACCTAAAGCCAATAATAACCCAACAAAAAGCAGTAGTGAGAATAATCACTCAATCCAATCCCAGAAACACCCCCCCCCCCCACTCTTCATAGATCTAAACTTACTCACTGTACAGAACATCCACACTTACTACTGTGCAGCCTACATTTACAGAACCTTAAATTCCAATATTAACCCTGACCTAAAACACAAGAGAAGAGGACAAAGGAAGAGAAGAGAAGACATTCTGATTTTGACTCTCGCCTCGGCAGGTCATAGCAGCTCTCCTTGCTTAGTCTTCCTACGATCCCCGTTGGGGAGGGGAACCTTTACCATCGTCGTCTTCTGCCTTGACTTGCACGATGAACTATGCAAATCGTGTCAAGATCAAGTCAAACAGTGGCACTGTTGATGATTCAACGAAGCTTGCTCTTGCAACTGTCGTTCAGGGTACACTGCATGTGAAATTCAACGCTATTCTATAACTCAAAGAAGCTTGCAATGTTGTGTGTCATGATGATGCTGAAGCAGAGAAGATACTCACTACAGAAGCCACCACTACTCTTACTGCTCAAGGATTTACTGTTATATCCTCTCCTGCTCTCAGGGCAAGGAAATCAGTATTCCTGAAAAAACTGGACAAGATTCTCACTTCTCTACCAATTGCTGAACTCGGGTCATCCATTGAAACTCAAAATACTTGGGCTACTGTTGACAGCATCACAAAAATCCCGAATGCATCGTCTATGCTCAAGGTCACCTTCACCACTGTGAACATGGCTGCCACTGCTCTGAACGAAGGTCTTGCTGTATACTACTACTACATCAGTCCCACCTACATAGAAGCAGAGAGATTCCACTACATCCAACATTGCTGGAACTACTATTCTTATCTACACACCACCAAGGCATGTCCAGTAAAAGACAAGAAGTTCTGCACTACATGTGGTAGTGAGGGCCACACCTTTAGTTCCTGTACCGCCGCTGCTCCATCACAACCAGCATGTTTAAACTGCAAAAGCAACGATCACCATACTCTGGCAGCAAAATGTCCTACTAGAAAGGACATTATGAAGAAAACACAAGATGCAGCACAAAAAAATCATCTAACAAGTCACCAACGTATGTCGCAATTGCAAAGTTGCAAGCAGATGCTACAAAATTACTTCAAGCCTCTACTCAACCCGCCTCCACCACCACCATCACTCCTCCAACATGTGACATAACAAAGATCCACTACTGTCTACTACATGTTCATATGCAGAAAATGACTGTACCTGGATCCTTCAACACTACCATCAACAAGTTATTTGCCTTGAACAAAATGCCATCATTTACATTTCCAGCATCTCCACCTTCTGCAGAAATTCTCAAATTCACAAAGTACTTAGTCGCTACCTCTGCTGCAGTAGCTCCACCACCAACTAGTGATGTCACTCCAACAACGTCCAATGAGAAGCCTCCACCGCCACCACTCCTCATTGAAACCCACCAATCAGAAGCCTTGCCACCAGCAACATCTTCCTATTCGTCTACTGAAGCTGACAACGTATCTTCACTTCCACCTTCAACACCACTTAACAAGAAAGAAAAACCAGCACCAACAACACTATCTGACGACTCCCGACATGATAATGATGCAGATGAAGTTACTGTAAAATACTGTGAATGGATTGGAATCAACTTCTACACCACAGAAAATTATCCTCAAGATATGCTGCTTTCTGAACTTCATTCTCACCTCATCCAAAAGAAAGCCAAGTTCACTGTTGATTCTTTTTGCACAACTGATAAAATTGAACTTTGTGCTATTCTAAAGCACATTGACGAACTACTAGAAGAAGATCCCCACTATCACCACTCGCTGACACGTCTAAATATGAGCCCTCTACAACATTTTAAACATCTTAAAAATGGAACTGAATTCAACTTTCCAATACACATCGTAAAACAACGCCACAACTCCAAGTAACCACCAAACCTCTATGAACTGACCAATCAACGATGAGCTCCTCCCTTGTCGCCTACAGCCACTTATCACCATCAAGTCGCAGTTATCTTCCATCCAGCAAGATGCAGTCAGCACCTGCAGAGTTCCTGTTGCTTTCTACATCGTCTTCGTCAGTGTTTCTTCAGGCTTAGCAGTTGGGTCTAGTCCTGACTCTTCTCTCTTCAACTCGAGACATTCCTCTCACTGTCTATTCTTCGCCCTGTCCCCACTTGCCCCTCGCCCCTCGTGGGTCCTTACCTGTGAGTCTGTGTTGTTGTTGTTGTTTACCTAAAACACTTTCTTGATAGTTGTGACAGAACCCACAGGCATAACACTAGGCACAAAAATCTCTATGACATTCCCTGTGTCCGGCTAAACCTACACAAAAATTCAATGTACATAAAAGGACCTAAAATCTAGAACACCCTACCTGAAAACTCTAGAACTTCAGACACAATCATTACTTTCAAAACTACTGTTAGAAAACATCTTGCCTCCCTGACACACCCCACTGTCAGCTTACTACATGAAAACCGCCTATTCTCTTGTATCATACACACATAAAAAACAACCTAGACCTCCCCTTGATATCTGTGATTCCCCACAATTCACACTTAAACTCACCCAATTGACTATAAACATAGAAAAACGTTATACAACTATTACCTAATGCATCTTAAACTAGTCATAAGTTTGCCTGTGATACTCCAATATAGGAGCTTCATTAGAGACTATGTATCGCACCAAAACAAAACCATTCACATTGCTAAATTTACAAACTGTAATGCGGTTACTTAGCCTTAATACCAACATGCTCCATAATCTGAATTAATGTTAGGCTGCCCGAAATGCCTAGTCATGGCCCTCTCTGTAATTATTATTTTATAATATGTAAACCACACAATATCCTGTAATATGTAAATCCCTGCACTGTAATCTTTATAGAGAATAAACTTGATTGATTGAAAGGGATGTAAATAGCGTGCTAAAAATATCTAGCTTAGGACATGCAGGAATGGATTTAAGTTGAAAAAAATTCAGATTCAGGAAGTATATAGGAAAGCACTGATTTGGTAATAGAGTTGTGGATGAGTGGAACAAACTCCCGAGTACCGTCATAGAAGCTAAGATGTGTAGTTTTAAAAATAGGTTAGATAAATACGTGAGTGGGTGTGGGTGGGTGTGAGTTGGACCTGACCAGCTTGTGCTGCTAGGTCAGTTGTCATGCTCCTTCCTTAGTGAATGGGACCTGACCTGACTACCTTAAGGCATTTGCTTAAGCCAGTGGGTGAATTGGACCTGCCTCGCATGGGCCAGTAGGCCTACTGCAGTGTTCCTTATGTTCTTATTAGTATGACCCCCATACCTTATATTTCTGACCTTCATGAACCAACCCACCAATGGACCCCAATGGAAATAAGTCACTCTGTCTGACTTTTTTGGGTTATCCTAGGTTCTCTACACATATGCTGCTATGTATGATAATTCTATGTAACTGTATTTGTGTATACCTGAATAAACTTACTTACTTACTTACTTATTGATCCTTGCCTACCTGTGCTGTATTTAACATAAAAAAAAATTATTTTTTTGGTGGGAGATAGCTTCAAATGTTCTCATCCAGAAAAGATTCCATACTTCATTATCATTCAGTGGTATGTGATGGAATAACATAGTTCATCTTTTGACACAGGTTCATCATTGTTTTGTGCCTGGTAAGAAGTACAAGAAATTACAGGACCTAGAAATAAATACTGCTACCAAGATCCAAGTGCCCAACACAAATCAGAACTCTGAAGACATTATCATTATGGCGACCAGACAGAGTATGGAGAAAGCCATGCATCATACCCAACAAATTACTGTATGTATTTATTCATTGTTTGTTGCTGTATAATATATATTCATACTGCATGTTACTATATGATTATACAGAAGATGTACAGTAGCTTGATTTTTAGAGCATATCTTAAATGAAGTTCTGAAATTCATAAATGTTAATACAGTGATTCATTTTGAAACTAGGTATTTGCATGTAAAGTGTAAAGTACAGTACTGATACTGGATTCTGTTATGAAAACAGTGAAGTACTTGAAGTAACCTTGAAATGTTGAATTTGCATTCCTTTTGCTCTTTTAATGAAATAAACTGGCTCTTGTGTAGAATAATGTACATGGCTTAAATCATGTCATTACTAATGTGCAGTTTTTGGCCAGAGATATAATGTAAAGCTTTCCTAAGATTTTTCAAGGAGTTGTATAAAATGTATGTGCTAGACAAAGTTGCATGATGCAAACAAGTAGTGGAAAAATAAGAGAAAGAGAATGCAGTCACATAGGAAATGTTTATTGGAAATGTTGGATGTATGTCCTGTATTCCACTATTGTTATTCTTATTTCCTGTGTACAGCACATTCATATTTAAACATTTTAACTAAGTATACAGCTTTATAAAAATATAGAAACCCCCAAATAGTTGCATCCATTTATCTGTAGTACTTACAAAGAAAATATTACAGCACTTATACTTTGAAAGTGATCAATGTGCCTCTCAACATTCCACCACCAGGTGTTATGAAGAATGAGATCACTATTGCTGGAGAGCAGGAAAATGTACAGAATCTTCAGATGCTTAAAATAATTATCAGTTCCCTTTAATGCTCAATTTAAGCTTCTCAGATTTCTTAAATGAATTAGAAGCTTGCTAATGTGTCATAGAATGTCTTACAAGAATTTATAAATTTAGGAACAAAGGTGCCACAGGGTGTCATCACAGCAGTCAAGTACAAACACACCAGCTTTTTGGGACCCTCAGGATAAGCTGAGACAAGGTATGTTTTGTGTATTCTTGACAATTCTGAATTGTGTACTTAGTAGGGTAACTAGGTGAGTACAAATTGAAAGCGCATCTGTCTCTCACTCATCAGACAGAGGATCAAGCCTTGACCACATCTGGCACTAAATGGCTCATGTGGGAGTTAGCATTTAACATGAATTAAAATGTTTCCATAGTAAATAATAATAATCGAACCCAGACCCTTGCCGTGTAAAGCAAGAGCTTTAACCACCAGGCTTGTCTTTCCTGGCTACACATGCACAGCAACACCAATTGTTTTCTGGTTTACATTTTAACTGTCACAATTTTCTTTATGCCATGTGTTATCTTGTTATTGTTCTACATTCGGCTGTATGTGCTGCTTCCTGAAATAATCCACCACCTTTCTACACCTTTCTTCATAAGTTTGGTAATTACTTGGCATTTTGAATTTTTAAACAAATGGTTCATGAAATCCTTTAATAAGTTTTTGGAAGATGGTTGGAATGTCTGGAAATTCATTAGAGGCTTTCCCACCATAATAGAATAACCCAAAGAAGAAACATGTTCATCGACACTCCTTCTTTATCTGTGTTTACAAGTAGCACATATAATACAGACATTCCACTGAACTGCAATCCTACCCATTCTTCATAATATGGTCACAGAACATTGCAACAGTATGTAGTAGTAACATGAAAAGCTCTTAATTTGATATATAATGTTACTGCCATAAAATTTTGTAATAAAATGGTCACTGTATCTATGACATCAAGTTGTGTGAATGGTTTACTATTATTATTATTATTATTATTATTATTATTATTATTATTATTATTATTATGACTTCTGTCATTGTTGATATTACCCACATAAATGAGTTGCAGTGGGAAGAAAGTCAAATTATTGGTTGTACAATTGCATTTTTGAATTTGGTAGTGTCTTATCAATCATGAAAATATTATACATAGAGAATGTAAAATATCCCTGTCTTCATCTTTCCATGTGTAGGTGTATAAAATATATACTTAGTCATATTAAAAGTAAGAGAAATAAAAGACAAGATGAGCATACTCTATTATATATTAATTCACAATTAAGGTGCTATTTATAATGGAACGAAACAGAATGACTTCGAGAGTGTTTAAATCTGTAGTGGAGGGAGGGCGGGGTAGGGGTCTGCCTAGGAAAAGTTGGAGGAAGGGGGCAAAGGAGGTTCTGTGTACAAGGGGCTTAGACTTCCAACAAGCATGCATGAGTGTATTTGATAGGAGTGAATGGAAACAAATGATTTTTAATACTGACATGCTCTTGGAGTGTGAGCTAAGTAACATTTATGGAGGGATTCAGGGAAACTGGCAGGCCGGACTTGAGTTCTGGAGATGGGAAGTACAGTGTCTGAAGGAGGGGGTGTTAATGTTGCAGTTTTGTAAACTGTAGTGTAAAGCACCCTTCTGGAAAGACAGTGATGGAATGAATGAATGATGAAAGTTTTTCTTTTTCGGGCCACCCTGCCTCGGTGGGAATCGGCTGATGTGTTAATAAAATTAATAATTATCACCTTATGATCAGAAATAATAATAATAATGCAAAAATTCCTACATAACTCAGAGTAATTATGTTCAGTCTTGCTGCTGCTGTTGCTCATGTTACACCAGATTGTTTGTCACTGTTACTTACATCATAACCTATTAAAATAGTTGGAGCAAAATAAACCACTCAGCTTCCTAGGCATACTCCACAGTTCCAATGGTCCTGCTCCCTAGATCTACTCCTCAATCCCCATGGTCTTGTTTCCTAAATCTGCTCCACTATCTCAGCTTCCTCACACCCATCATGGTCCCATTGCCTAGATCTCTTTCACAATCTCAGCTTCCTCACACACATGGTCGCACTCCCTAGATCTACTCCACAGTCCCAGCTTCCTCACACCCATCATAGTCCCTGTTACAACCCAGGAGTCCAAATGGCCTGTTATCCTGGGTGTAAAGGGAGCAAAATAAACACAGCAGAAAAGTTTTGACTTATATTATCCTTCACCAATTTAGAACAGCAATATGTACACTATGTGCACTAGTGCACTCCACGGTAAGCAAGGCAGAATAGAAGCCGCAAGAGAGCAGACCGTGCTTCAACCAGCTCTAGAATGGGAATGACAAGGGCAGACAGGAGAGTGGTACCCACATAACCTCTGCAATTGCCAAAACCATCTTCTTATTGGCTGGAACCTGGTTACTAGTTGAACGACGGGGCCCCATCGTCAACTCTTAGTCACCTGGTTCGCTGGTTGGGGGAGATAGCCTGTAAATGAGGGTGTGTACATGTGCCGAATAATGGTTACGTACTCTTTGCATGCCACACCCCCACCCCGAGAAGGTCCCATTATTTTGTGCCACCATGGCACAAAATAATGGGACCACCTTTCCTCTCAACCATCCAACTCTTAGATAGAGCTCAGCTTTTCTCATGACAAAAAGCCAAACCCTAAACTCAAAGCGAGACAGCAAACAGTCGGGCTAGCTTAGGTCCAAGACACAGGCGGACGGTAGCCCGTATCCCCTCACTAAAAAAAAAAAACCCACCAGGGGATAAAAAAAAGAGCTTGGAAGGGGTTACCACAAGTAACCTAACATCCTAACCTAATATATATTTGAATAATATAGTTAGACTCTAGATAAAGAGTCTGCCAACATATTCTAGGGTAGCCCACTTTCTGTTTGGGCCATCCATGCTCCAAGAGCAGTCTTCTCAAAAAAAGAAAAATATCTAGCTGTGGTCACACTCTGTAAACTTAGGGACAAAATTTGCAAGCTTTAGTAGTTAAAGTACTGCTCAGGCTCTTGTTCAGAACCTCCTAATCATTGACGTTCTTCATCTTAGCTTTCAAATTAATTTCATTTCAGACCTCTAGTACAGCTAATTTCAGTCTCTTTCTCATCCATTTGCCATATTACCTGGAGTAGGTGATCCCTCATGTTCATCTGATAACAGGCATGTTACTGATGAATTATTAACTTCTTCCCTGAAGCCTAAAAAAATCTGAAGATCATCTTCTGACATAGTTTTTAATCTTTAAACACTTGCTTCCCTCTTACAGTATCAGTGGACAAAGTTTTCCCACAGTCACATAAAATATCACAAATTGAAGTAAACTATGCACATAGCACTTACACCATAACCAACAAACAAATATGTGTTACTCACCTTTCTCTCACACTTAGGAGAAAAACAACCTGTCAACTAATATATGAAAACAACACTTCCACTGACACCACCTTGGTAAATCATTCTAACCAAAACATGCAACTGTGTATTACCCCATACCAGCACATATAGTTTCAAAGAATGTTTTGAGTATTTTAGCAGTCAAATAACTCTCTCCGGTCAAGCTCCCATGTTTTTACGTTGGTTTGTCCCATATTACTTTGATAGTAAGGTTCTCACTACATGTTCTAGTGAGGGTAACTTTTGACTTAATGGCCTTTTTGTCTAGGGGTAATACTTTACATTATGGCTGATCATCTATAGTTCCTCTGATACCCTTTCACCAGCCCTCTTCACAATGTTTGTAAACTACTACTATAAAAATATGAGTAGTAGGTTGGTAGACAGCAACCACCCAGGGAAGTACTACCGTCCTGCCAATGACTGTGAAACAAAAACCTGTAACTGTTTTGCATGATGGTAGGATGCTGGTTTCTTTTTCTGACTCATAAAACCGCTAAGAATACACAGGGATATCATGCACTCCTACTTACACTTTTGGTCACACTTCCAGACACGCACATGCATATATATATATACATACATCTAGGTTTTTCTCTTTTCTAAATAGCCTTGTTTCCTTTTTTATTTCTTCTAGTGGTCGCATGGTGAAGTGGAAAAGAATCTTCTTTCTCCGTAAGCATGCGTGTCGTACGAGGCGACTAAAATGCCGGAGCAATGGCTAGTAACCTTCTACCTGTATACAATTACTAAAAAAGAGAAGAAGAAAAACTTTATAAAACTGGTTTCTTACATTTGCGTGGAAGTGTGCGGATGACAAGAAACAGATGATGCTGATGTTATAATGAAAAGAAGTTTGATGCCTGGTCCCTAAGCGAAACAAAAGCTGAAGGGGGTAGGAGAGTTTCAGTGGGGAATAAATGGTATTTAAATTCTGGAGTATCTGAAGAGTTAGAGGCAAAGGAAGGGGTAGCAGTAATGATAATGATCATTTATGGAAGGAGAAAGATGTGACCCTCATTCACCTTAAAGGTAGTCTGTACACATAAACGAAAACCCTCCATCAAGCTTTTAAGACATGATGCATGGTGAAGCCCATTGACTAGAATGACTCCTCCACTAAACATGCATTAACAGAAATTCTACTTCCTCAGCTGAAGTAGCCTCTGCTTTTCAGGATTAGCTCTGTAAGGGGAGATTAATAGGATAGAGTTTCCACATCTATCATCATGATAACCTAACGTACATGTTTTTCAGCACATCCGAAAAAACATATTAGTTATGACTGTAACGCTCAGTTAAACTGTTGCATGCGTTTCAGAAGTCCCTCCATTAAATAGCCTAGGGTCCTTAAGGAGGACAGAGTTTGAAATTTAACATTATTTCAGAATAGACGTGCCAAGGAACAGTCATCCTCAGGGTTGGGTAGGTAAGACGAGATTCAATACTGGGAACTTTATCTGGTGTATGAAAAAGATTATCTTCACTGATTAATGTCTGGTCTTATCAAGAGAGCAACCACATAATTATACTATCAGAATAATTTACTAACAATTTTCAGCTAGATCTCTCACTGTAAATCTAGCTTTCAAGGTGTGCCAGGTATAGGTTTCCTGCACCAACATCTTGTCTCCTGGATGGAAGGAGCGAATTGTGCACTTCTGTCATACCTCTGTTTGCATCTTATTTTGACTGTCTTTAGGGATTAGCCTTGGCTAACTGAAGTGCCACCTGCAAACCTTGAAGACGGATTTGTAGAGACTTGTTGAGTTAACGTCTATCCTCCCATCC